CCTCCCTACAAACCCGTGTCTCGGGGCCGGGAGCGAAAGGGTCCGCGCCTGCCAAACAGCTGCTCTCCCCGGCCGCGGATCTTAGGGCGCTCCCCTGCGTAAAGAAGGCAGGGCCGGTGGGGCGACCTTTAAGGGAGCTTGTGGGGGGGGAGAGAGAAGGGGGCGTCCAGTCCTTTTCCCTGCCTGCAAGAGACCCCCCCTCCAAAAAAAAGCATGCTATGGATCCGGATGCACGGGCAGCGTTTTCCTGGGGCAGATCTCCCGATCTTCGGGGGTTGCAAGGAGGACCCGGGCGAGAAAGCATGCAAGGGGACCCCCCCACCCCAACTGGAGCCCCCGCTCTTTCCTCCCCCTCCCAGGTAAACGCAGCATCAAGATTTCCTTAACCCCCCAACCCAACTCTTAAGGTCTTTGCAAAAAAACAAACAAACAAACAAATCGCCATCATCATCATCATCGCGGCTCTGACCTGCAACTGCTGGAATTCCTCCTCCAGGTCTTTCCACTCTTCTTGACATTTCTGCAAGGGCAGCACCATCGCGCTGGCAGGCCCGAGACACCCCCCCCAAAAAAAACACCCACCCCCCAAATAAAAATAAAAAAATGAAGTTAAAGCGGCAGCTGCGGCGGCCTAACGGTACACCCCCCCCTTAAAAAAAATAACAAAATTAAAAATACACTTGCAAAATCCCAGGGACGCCAAGCAGCGCCAGCTCTCAGCTGGTCCCGGGCCCACGTGCGCACCTGACGTCACGGGATCGCGCCCATTTGAAAAAAAAGAAAAGAAACACGACCAAGGACGTCTGTTTTCTTTTTTTCCCCCCCTTTTCTTGGAAATCTGCATGGATTTCCAGTTTCTCCCAAAGTCAGGGCATGGGGGAAAGCCGGGAAGTAACGCGTTACAATCCGTTCCTTCGTGGCATCCCTGCCACTGCTTCCTTGGAGAGAGAGAGAGAGTGTTATTTTCTCTCCTCTTTCTCCAGCTTGGAAATTTTAATTTCCTCCCCGCAATGAATACTTCCCAGATCCCGCATAGGCATCAATGCATGTAAGGTGACTTATTTAAAAAGAAAAAAAGAGAAAGAGCTCGACTGCGCACGCGCAGCACTCCCCCCCTCGCTCTGGCCATCGCCTCCTTCTTTTCCTATTGGCCAAAGGAAGGCTCTTACGGCCTCTGCTTGGCTCCGCCCCCTCGACTCAGCCTCCTTTCTGTTAACCCTTTGCACCCAACTCAGAATATCCCTGCAGAAAATAATATGTACAGTATATAGAAACTTCCTCGTGTAGCAACCCCTGGTGGAAGATTGTGGGAAGTTGCTGAACTCTGAGTTGTTTATGCTTATAAATATATCAGTATATATAGAAATGGCAGGTGGGCAGTACAGCTGCAGAATTAACGTGGTTCTATTTATGCAGTAGGTAGAAACACAGGCAGATAAGAACCAGGACGCTGAGCGAAACCTTATTCTCATATATATGTTTTTAATTAATGTCATTCTCATATATATGTTTTTAATTAATGTCATCCCATCAGCGGGTGTGACACTTTTGCAGAAGGGTGAAGACTCAGCCTGGAGCTACCAGCCTTCAAATCTGTGTCAGAACCAAGTAAACTTTCAGAAAGGCTAACGCTTTGCGCTTCTGGACAGCAGTCTGGTGGGGAATTTTTGAAATGTCCTTATAACAGTTCCCAAAGCCATGACACCCAAAAAGAGGCCATCGTCGTAGGTATACATCTTGATGCACAGCCACAAATCTGTTCTACCGGTTATGATCTCTGTGAGAAGCCGATGGGTCTTAAAGGCCAACTGGAGAGTAGTCGGGCATAATTCCAGAGTCCACTCACAATAATATATTGGCCACAATCTTGTTGTGCCGCTCATTGGCATGTGCGCACAATGTGAATGGCATCAGTGGCACATTGCTGCTGACTAAAGACTTCCCTTTTCACTTTTTATGGTGTGCACAGCTTGCAAGCAATGAGACAAAGTTGCCTGCACCCTGACCTTCCGAAAGGTAGTCTTTAAGGAGCAGGCAGTCTGCCAGTGACAATGATGTGATTCCTACTGTGCAGTAGATTTCAGTCATTGCTGCGGGGGAAATTTATTTGCCTCCTGTCATGAGAGTGATGGCTCAGCTCAGAAGGAACAGAGGGGGGGGGAGTCTGGGTGGGAAGATGACATCATTGCCTCTGCTTATTAACATTTTCCAGTGCTTTGATCTGATGGATATTGAGTCAGCTACGTCACTGGTTCTGGAACATCACTTATATTGCTTATTATAAGACCATTCTACCTGCTTTTCTGCTCTCATTTAAGACACATCTGCAACAGTAGGTACTCAAGAATTCACACAATCAATGATCGGAACAGGGACTTTTCTATTTAGAATAATTTGTTTAAAAGGGGAAAAGTAGAGGCATGACCATTAATTGTGGTCACCAGGTGGCAGTACTGTATATATCTTCCAGGAGATACTGTATATAGATGCTTGTTTTTGTAGATGCTGCTTGGTATGGTATCTCTCTCTTTTTCTGCTGCTCTCTCTTTTCCTCTGTCCATTTTGTCTCTCATGATGCAACCAGAGGATGCGTGGAGCCTGGATTCAGAAGCAAGGGTCTCTTAAATAGTGAAACATGTTGGCTTTCCCTAGCGCAATCTTTTCCCGCTGCCACATCCTGCAAATCCACTCTGTTTTATGGTTGGTCCTCAGGTCACGCGCCAGTCCCATGACTTGGTGCATGACCGGGAATGCAAGCGGTAACTTGTTGATTTGTGGAAACTTGCCACTGCAATGCATCCCCTTGCCCTCACTCTGGCATCAAACGCCAGCTTTGTGCAAACCTAAGAAGAAACACCAACTAAATGGAGTGACAGAGAAAAACAAGCATTCCTTCTTCTAGTACCCTGTTTCCCCAAAAATAAGACCTAACCTGAAAATAAGCCCTAGTATAATTTTCCAGGATGCTCGTCATATAAGCCCTACCCCAAAAAATAAGCCCTAGTTAAGCGAAACCCTGCGCCTCCACCCTTGTGCAGCCACCAGAAGATGATGACATGGCTGTAAAATAAAACATCCCCTGAAAATAAGCCCTAATATGTTTTTGGAGCAAAAATTAATATAAAACCCTTTCTTGTTTTCAGGGAAACACGCTAGAAAGGGATGAAAACGCTGAAAGACGTGTAAGATTAAACACTGTAAAATAAAATGTATGCGTCCCATTTCAAAGCAGCTACAACGTTCCCTAAGATAGGAAGGCATATAGAGGATCCCGAGCATCCACAGAGGGTTCAAACGCATTTCTCACTAGCTGGTCTGCAGGATTCCCGTTGGGTTGGATGCCCGTTGCCCCATACTCCTGGCACAAGAAAGGAAAAAAAAAAGAATTGTGCCCCTCCATGCAAAGAGTCATTCCATGTTATTGTGCCTTGCACAGGAATGTTGTTCTTCTTCTTGGTTTCTCCTCTGCAAATTTATCCAGGCCAGATCTAGCTGAGCCCTGCTCAGGGGTAACAAGACTTTACCATTGCCCATTTTTGATCCGTTTAGGTCTGGTCAGCTTCCCTGCAGTGAATCATCCTCAGGAGGGCAGGACTGTCTCACAGAGTCCCTTTCCGAGCTCCTTCCCTCACCACAGTTTGCCTGCCCACCGTTGCTAAGGCTACCTCTACCACACAGGGTGAGCGGATGGCGCCGGGGGACGGTGGTGAAGAAATGCCGATGGATGCAAGAACGGGCCGCCTGTAGAAGTTGGCCAAGGGCCTCCCAGTTCCCTTGGGGGACAGCTGAGTCTCTCCGACCACAGATTCCAGGTCGGTCTTCCTTACTCTGTTCATTGATGAAAAGGGGGGGGGGGTAAGTGCTCGTTGCCATCTGGAGCTTAGAGCTGCCTTTTTCTGGACTACAACTCCCAGAATCCCTGGTTTTGGGGGGGGCGTTCTGAGAAGTGTAATCCAAAAAAGAGAGAGAGAAAATGAAAAGAAGGAACCCTTTCTAAACTCAGCTGCAATTTCTGATCATTTTTGAAAGGGACCTGATTTTGCTTGATACAGGAATGTTGGGTCAGACCCAGATTTCAGGAAGCTCGTGAGCCCAGAGACCACGGATGGACACCCCGAAGCAGCCAATGCTGGTATTTATACACCCTTTATTATCACACCTTTATTATATCACGTTATATTGTCTTTTAAATGCATTTATTTGTGTTGGTATCAACCATTGAACGGCCACTGCTCTATTTGCATTGCTGCTGTTTGCAAGACTGAGACAAACGTGCAGTTTCTCTTTTTTTATATTGTTAACTCTGCAGATGAAGAGAGAGGCGATTTTGCAGAAGAGTGCAGGGGCCGGATCCGTCCCATCATGGGTGAGTAGCGGAAAGACATCCGGACAAGGACAGGAATGGGGGTGACGAAAAAGGTTGGTGCAGAGGAGCCGAAGGGTGTCGTTGCTCCTTCTGAATGCCAGGAGGGCCAAGGGTCGGGCGAATCGGAAGGAAGGTTGGGCTCACGACGTCGTGGGCATTCCTCCATTCGTGGGTCTTGAGCCATTAGCTAATCTGGGCTTCCTTGGCTACTGCCAGCTCTCTGGACACAGCCCAGAAGGTATAATCGCCAGTCCTGCATGCCTGTATCCACAAGCACAGGCGGTTTCGTGTGCAAGATGTAAAAACTAGAAAACGGAGCATTTGTGGGTAACAACACCCACAATTCCCCATGGCTACGCGGGCTGGAGATCTCTAGAAGCTAAAAGAGTCACTTTTCTGACTCTGCTTCAGAGGGGATCAGACCCTCATCAAACCAAGAAGCCCACGGTTAACGCTTCGTCTCTGTCACGACACAGTTGTGCTGTTGCTGTACTGGCTGGGGATGATGGGAGGTGCATTCCAACTGAGACCAAGGAAGACTACGCCGTCTGAGGTCATGGGTGGCACCATAGAGGCTACCCCGTTGCTCTTTGTGAGACCTTCAGAGAGGTATTATCTCAGAAGATCTATGATGGAGAGTTTCTCCTTCTTGGAAGCCGAGGGTCAAACTAAAAGTTAAGAGGACTCCTTGGAGCACATTCCCCCCCTCCCCTGTGACCATGCGATTTCCATGAAGAGTTGTACCTTAGCCATCAGATTTGCCAGTCAGGGCTCCTATTTGCTTTGCAATGATTAATCACAAAACCAAACACTCTGGAATGCAGGATACGGCGGCGAGGAAAAGCCCATGCCAGCTAGGATAAAACCAGATGCCGTTTGGCACTTAAGGGAGCACTACTTCGAACTAGGAGCTAAGCGTATCGTCCGGTTTGACTTTCCAATAGGGTTCTTGAATCTCTGGGCAGTCAAAGGCACAGAGTTTTAAGAGGTGGAGGATTGAGAATTAAGTTCAAAACCTTCATGCTTGGTGCAAAGCAGAGGCCAAGGGAGGAAAGCCTCCTTCAGGCACCGTCTCCTGGGCGATCGGTTCCTCACAATAAGCAGACCTTGAGGGTTTCCCATGACATCACCATGACCTCACGAGGCTTGGGCAGAAGAGACTAGAGGTGGTCCACCCTCGTGAAAAATGCTTGAAAGGGAACATCTGGATCACACCGAACCCTTACCTAACAAGGTGTGTAAGCCTGATTTTAGATAGTATCTCGCAGGGGTGGGAGGGACTGGACACGCCCCTCCAGCTGTGGGTGCACTGCACTTCCCAGCCTTCCCTGTCATGAGCTGGGCAGACTGGGGCTGATGGGACTTGTAGTCCAAGCACAGGCTGGATTTGCCCACCCTGGTATAGCTCAAGTTCTTTTTATCCAGTCCTCGGACAGCGACTCACCGTTCAGCTGTTTCTAGGCTTGCTGCTGACCGGGAGATGATTTATATCATCCGTTGATGCACCAGGTTCAGAACATACCCTACCCTATAGATCAGCGATGGTGTGGCGAATAAGAGAAGAAAAGGGTTCGCTCCGCAGATCTTTGCTGTTTTCTTCTCCCACAATCGTTTTCTTCTACAATAATAGATATGGATTGTTGACTCCTCCCCTCCAAAAAAATTAAGGGGCGGGGGGGGGAGTATAAGCCTGGAATTTCAAAGCTTAGAAAAGTTACCTTTGGAATTTGGAATTAGATTTCCGAAGTTCCGTTTTGAAAAAAATGTGAACTAGGAAAAGGAAAAAAAGAGTATAAATCTTACAATGCTCCCCAAGTCATCTGATGACGTTCAAGGAAGAGTGTGTGTGTGTGTGTGTTTTCGGTCTACCAGTGGCTAGGAGAGAGGAACTCTGTGCATGCTCAGAGGTTGCCTTCTTTTACAAGGCTAAAAATGTTTCCCGGAGGAGAGGAAAGCCATTTGCTGTAAAAAAAAAACCCTTTAAATTCGCCAGTTTGTTCTCTAAGACATACCAGCTGTCCAACTCAGTTATTCTAATTTTCAGTAGCTGATGTTTTATACTTAGGCTGCTGCCTTGTTGGTTCATAAATATCATTTTATGACCTTTGCCTGTTTTGACTGGGATTAAATTTATGAGAATCTGTGTTCTCTGAGGAGCAAAGGAGCCGGGGGATAAAAACAAGGCCTGCCTCTTTAACGAAGCCGCTTCCCAGGGGAACCACAGATTGTGAAAAGCTCACACTCTCAATTGTATTCTGGACCCTTTCTGAATCCATCTTTTCTCGCTGACCCCTTTCCAGGCCAGGAAAGCATGCCTATTGTCAAGTATCCAAGGGCAGTCGAGCCTCTTTGGTATGAATGGGACAAGAAGGCGCAGAAATGTGGACTGAGGCACACAGTTTATGCCGTAAACGGGGATCGTTACACCGGAGAATGGCTGGACAACCTCAAACACGGTAAAGACAATTCAGAGCAAAAGAGGGGGTGGCAGGCATTGGCAGATGTTCAATATATTGGTCGTCGCCCTCTGTGGTTGGTCTTCCTATCTACAGATACACTGCTCCTGTACAAGGAGGCTTGACTTGGAGGTCACGACTAGCACCAAAACAGAAGCCTTGCTTCTTAAGACCACCATACTACCACCAAAATGTCTGCATAGTAGTACACCTACTTCGTTAATGGGGACTCACAAAGCCCATGTCACACATAACATGGATATGACAGCATCATTGGAGGGGGCGGGAAACAAAAAATATAAGACAGTGCCATATTTTCATGAGCTGGAAAAGAGATCCACAAGATGAGAGCTATCCTGCGCTTTATTCCTCCAGGAAAAGGTACCCAAATATGGAAAAAAACAGGGGCGATCTACAGCGGAGACTGGAAATTTGGGAAGAGGGACGGATACGGATCCTACAGCCGCCCTGACCCTGTAACGAAAGATTATAAGAAAGTGTACGCAGGCTGGTGGAAAAATGACCAGATGTGGGTACGTTGGCTTCGTTCTGAATGATTATTTCTATAAAATGGGGGAAAGGCACTTTGCTGGACGATGGAATACTCCGTTTCACTAAGTGCATGGTTCCTATAAATAATAACTTTGTCCAGCCCTGTATTTTCCAGTATATAAGCGGTGGTGGTTCTCCTGCGTTTGGGGCACAAAATCTTTGCATTGCCCCCTACCTGATTCTTTTCACAGGCGATGCCAAGATTGGAACTCATGACCATCCCCTGAGAAGCTGGTCCTGAGCTAGGGCTTCAAGCGATCAGATAGGAATTAGTAACTAAATTATATAAAAATGGGTACTACGGGATCAGCTACGGATTAAATATTCCCTGCATATAACGAGCTCATAAAAATAGAAGTTTAACGTGGCCATCTTTGTAGGATTTCACAAGATCGTTTCTTGCTGACGAGTCAGTTACTTCCATAGTCACCGATGGGCACTGGTTATATAGCATAGACCGTGCTCATCACACCTCCCCTCGTATACTTTGCGGGAGAAATAAAAATGTGATGAAAAAACCACTACAAAAGGAGTAACACAACAGTACATGCCCTGTTGCCTCACCACACCAGCATCACGAGCGCTTCTCTTCCGTCTCCGCTGTAAGATCAAAACGATGCTGGTTGGTTTGTCCGTCTTTGATCGACCTAAGCAATACAGGAAGGGGGGAGAAAACGCCTCCCTCTTGTTCCCCTTGCTGTTTTTTTTTTTTGTCACTTTAGGGTTATGGAATTAGGTTCTACTCAGATTTGGAATATTACGAAGGGGAATGGCACGCCGGGAAGAGAAACGGCTGGGGACGGATGTATTACCGAGACGGCTCCATTTACGAAGGCCAGTGGTCAGAGGACGAGCCGAGTGGAGAAGGGATGCTTCGACTAAGTAAGGACTCACTGTTACTGCCCGTCGGGTCTTGCCCTCTAGGGCGTAGGCCAGAGATCAGAGATGGTCCAGGCAGAGGCCCCATCCTCCTGATGACCAAACGGGCCATCGTTGGTGGCCGGCCATCATCTTGTTGGTGGTTGTTCCTGGGAGGCTGTAGAATCTCGAGATGAATCTGGAGTTATTGGAGGAGCAATCAGGGACGCGCCGGGTGTGAGCCTGAACTTGAAAAGCAGCCCTCCATGGCGCTGAAGATTGGGGGCCAAGATTCAGCACCCTGGACAGCTGCCGCCAAGTTCGGAATAAAACCTAAGCTGGATTGAGAGTTCCTGGAAAAATCAGAGCTGACTTTTCTTGATTAAAAGAGGGGGGGGGGAAGGAAAAAAAAAGAAGTAAAACAATACCAACCCATCAAAAACTCATGTCCGTTTGCAGAAAACGAAAACCGTTACGAAGGCTGCTGGAAAGATGGGAAGAAACACGGGCCCGGGAGATTTATCTACTTAGACACTGGGCAACTCTACGAAGGTTATTGGGTGGCGGACATCCCAAAGTGTGGAACCATGATTGATTTTGGTCGCGATGAAGCTCCTGTGCCGACTCAGTACCCAATCCCCAAGGTAACGCAAATGAATCTCCTTCCTTGGATCATTTAACTTATTGCAGGTGTTTCCAGCTCTCTACACCACTCAAATCAGAGTGTATCCATGTTACCTTTTATTGCTTCTCTTTTAGTATTATTTTTATATTTCTGCAGTGGCACAGCACTGAGTTTCTGGCTACTGGATAGGAATAACTACCCTGGGAAAACAAGTGTATAATAACTACAGCAACAGCAACAAAACCTTATGCTTAGAAATAGGGCAGGAGGAAAGGATCTTTACCTCATTAGAGAAACTCCTGAATTTGGCTTCCATATGTGCAGATGTGCTGGTAGTGACTGTGGAGACCTCGTGTCTAGCTCTCTCTCTCTCTCAAAGATGAGCAGTAACATTAACAAGCTTTGGAGGAGGGAAGTAAGCCAAAGAGTAGCAATCTACATATCGGTGACTGGTGATATAGAAAAGAGAGGGACGTGGGAATATACCTGGGTCTATCTTTCTATTTTTCTGTTTGATCTCTCTCCTCTGAGTTCATGTTACCTATTACACACATTTCCACTTCTCTCTACACTAATCAGACTGGTCGAGCCCCCCCTAACAGCGGAGGGCTTGTGTTTTAGGTAAATTTAATCTAAGAAGTGGCTGTAACATTTTGCAAAGAAGTTATCTCTCTAGGAATGCCTCTGTTATACCGGGTGTAGAGGCTGTTGTTAAAATGTGTTTGCTCTGGCTTTTCCTTCAAGTCTGCAAAACTGTAGATTCTTTGGCCACGTTCTCAATGGCCCAAGAAAGAAGAACTGGATTCTGCTCCCTTCTTCGCCTTCCAGCCAAGCCAGTCTTTCCCCTCAGTTTCTTTTCAGAGCATTCAGTTTTTCGGTTCCTTGTACCCTGTTCCCCCTAAAATAAGACTTAACCTGAAAATAAGCCCTAATATGATTTTTCAGGATGCCCGTAATGTAAGTCCTACTAAAAAAAAAAAGCCCTAGTTATCAGTGAAACCCTGCCCTCCATCCACCACTGTGCAGCAACCAGAAGATGATGTGACTGCATTTGAATAAATGTAGATGGTTATACATGGCAAAAATAAAACATCCCCTGAAAATAAGCCCTACTGCGTTTTTTTGGAGCAAAAAAATAATATAAGACCCTGTCTTATTTTCGGGGAAACAGGGTATATTTCTCGATAGGTTCGTAATCAAGGACAGCCTGGGGAACGGGATAAATACTAAATAAACCTTAATGGGTTGCTATGGGGGTGGAGTAGAGAGTTCTGAGCTTAATTACAGAGTAACAATGAAGGACGGGCGGATGGGCTGAAAACTCCAAATATTCGCCATACTTGGCCTTGTGCTTCTGCACTCAACATCCAGAGATGCTGTTTCCCTTCCCCTCCCCTGCGAGCTATTATTTGAAGATAAAGCATTTTGTGCTCCTTCTTGGTCCGGCGGTGGGATCTTGTGGGGATGATCTCCTTGAAAAAGGGAGAAGCCTCAGATTCCACCAGGGTTGTGCGGGCTTGGAAAAATCACTCTTAATCCCCAAGGATCTCTGTGTTCCACCAGCCTAAATTTAAGCAAGGAGCGGCTTTTACATTACAGAAGGCTTAATAAATTACCAATTCTAGGAGCCAGGCGTGCCTACATCTCGCTGCCAGGGGGTACACCTATTTCTTTCCCCCGTTGCATAAGCAAGGGGTGTATCTCTGCCATTCTGTACCCTGGCGTTCCTTCACACACTGTCCTGGCTCCGTTTGTCCCTCATCAGTGGAGAAGTTGGCAAGGAGAAACGGCCTTTCTTTCAAGCATGGATGGGCCAAGCCGCCGGCAGGCCGGATTCAAAGCCGAGGCTGCCACGTCACCCACCCTGGCCTAACCCCTTCTCTCTTGTGCTGCGATTTCAGATCGAACTGCTGGATCCTGAGGGCGTGATTGAAGAGGCACTCCAGATGTTAGAGAAAATGGAGGAATTAAATTCTCAGCCACAGAAAGAAAGATGACGGCCAATAACTACGATTAGGACCTCTATTTTTTTCCTGTTTCAACCCCAGAGATAACCAACATTCACCAAATGCAACCAATGTACGTTCATAAAGAATGCTTTTCCCATATACTATATATATATAGGTGTAGGATCTTTTCCTAATTAGAAATATGGGGAAATTCTCATCCCTTATGAACTTCCTGGAATCTGGACACAGTGGGATTGAACAGACCATCCACGGGGACCCTCTTTCAGCTCAAGACCTGCTCTGAATTTCTGAGAGGTACTCCGGGACTACATTCTAGTGGCGGGTGGGTCCAAAGGCCAAAACGGAGCCTCAGAAACGACCACATATTTGAGCTTAAACCTCCTAATGACGCTTGGTGAGAGATATTTCAAAACTTTTAGAATGGGCAAATAAACTGGACCAAAACTGGGAAAGGATGTCATGGGGAAAGAGGCATGGCAGAACCTAGAGGGCCGGGTTTCGCTCTTAGGGCTGCAGTTGCCCACCCCTGCTCTAAGGTGTCTCTCTGAAAGGATTCCTCTTGCAACAGGGTGATGCTGGAAGGGGCCGTCCACTTAAGTTTTTAAATGCTGACAAGCCGTTTGGAACATAAGCCTATTCAAGGGTGCCTCTGAGCACATGCAGAATGCTCTTTCCACATCTTTGCCTAGCAGTACCCTAGCAGTGCTCTTGTATTTATCCGCTTGGGCTGACGGATCAGGTCTGTTCATTCATGATCTTTGAACTCAGTCAAAAGGGTATCCTATTTAACTTTGATTGGATTGTCTCCGTTCTGTAAGGTGTGCAAATTCTGCTAAATAGTTTAAGAAACGCAGCAAGCAAAGGCCTAATTTTAGTTCCTAAAAAAAAGTACCGCCCTCCTCCGGGCCCCATAGAAAAAGAGATGGGGGAAGAGAAAGGAAAAGATAATAAAGAAAAGGTTGTAACCTCAAAGTTTCTTGGTTGTGCTCACTGGGGGCAAAGCACTCTCCCTGACAGATTATTTGGGGTGGGGCAATAGCTATCATCAAACGCATCCATCAAAATGAGTAACAGTCAGCGTTATTCATTCTTTCTCGACCTGTAAAACGCCTACAGTTAACAGTTGAAAAGAAACACACACACACAAAAAAACCTCACAACACACCCTTCCTAGAAGGAAAAAAAAAAGAGACAAGAGATGAAAAATGTAGCACCAAAGCAAACACAGAGTAAACTACACAGCCTTCCTAGAAGGAAACAAAAAAGAGACAAGAGATGAAAAATGTAGCACCAAAGCAAACACAGAGTAAACTGGAAAAATAATTTTAATTTTCTAGTTTCATTTTTAGTCATAGTTAACAATGATTTCCAAACAAGAGTAGGTACAAATCCTGCAGAGAAAGGTGATTTTAAAAACTATAAACACACAGGCACACACACTCCCACACACACTCAAGCCAACCCAGAGAGCAGGCAAAACAGAACCTTGTCTGCTTATTTATAACAATTGTCTAGAAATATTTATTTCTGCTGTCTCCTTCCCAAGATACAGCAGAAATAAATGAGTGCATGCCTAAAGGGATCCAGAAAACGTACAGATATGATTTCCCTCAATCATGTTGCGTGTTTCATTACAAAGAATTCCTATGAATAAAAGGTATCATTGAACTGGCTCTCTTACTCATTTTTGAGAATAAAAAGTAGAAAAAGATATATTTGTACATTGTTTTTCCTTTTTTTTTTTGCATCTGTCTATCCAAACCAAGCCTGAACTCTTATCTCTGGAGGCAAACGGAGGCCGTCCTTCGTTGAATACATCCTGACAAGGCAGGATTCTCTGGAAAAGACAGTAATGCTAGTAAAAGTTGAAGGCAGCAGGAGAAGAGGAAGACCAAATATAAGACGGACCGATTCCCTAAAGGAAGCCATAGGTTTGAGTTACTAATAAGAGTTGAGCAGAGCTGTTCAGGACAGGACTTATTGGAGATGGCGAAGAAGCTCAAACCCCAACAAGAAAAAAAAAAGGGCTTTGGATGTTGCTCGGTAGGAGAGCACCCACACAAGTACCCCAAAATAGCAAGGAATATCAGCAGCTAGCCATTTTTTCCCAACCCTGCAGAGAAAGAAGCATCATACTTTCACAATGATGTCTATTTCCAGCTAGCAGGTTGTAGACAGATGTTCTCGTTGGACTTTTTTTTCCTTCCTGGCAAATCATAAGCTTAAAAACAACCGTAGTCCCAGTTAAGCTAGCCCCTCTGAAATCAAAGAAAGGTATTACACATAATCAAGTTGCTTCCGACTTAAGAGTAACCCTAATAAAGCCTTAGGGGCTAATAAGATACTAATAAGAGTCTTCCTCGCCATGCAAAGTCCGCCCCGTGAATTTCCATAACGGAGTATGGATTTAAACTCAGGTCTCCCAAGTTCTAGCCTGATCCCCTGATCCATTACGCCAAGCTGGATCTCACAGTAAGGGAAATTGCTTATCAAGCTTCCATTGATCTAATAGATCCACTCTAGTTGGGATTAAAAAACTGGATTTAGGCCACAAGAAGCAGAACTAGATAGAACCCAAGCTGCTCACATCAGCTGGTAGAATCCAGGACGTTACCTGCCCTGTCCGTTCCCCTTACGTTTCTGACCGCGCAGAATGCAATAGGTCTCCATGAAGCTGGCCTTGAGCCTCTCCCTCCTTCCATTTCTGGAAACATTTTGTTCTGTAAAGGAGATCAATATTTGCTTATTTTTGTGGCCTCCGAGCGGGGCTCCTAACACTGTTGACTGGCAGGATGGCTGAGTGGTTTAGATCTCCAGCTGTGGAGTCAGAACGGGCACACAACTGGATTTTTTTTAATTAATGAGGACTAGAAAGTTTAAAAAACGGCACTGAGGTTTCTTTGCAGTTGAAGCAAGCGAGGTGTGGGAGAGGCAACATTTCCATTCTGCAAAAAATAACAGGGACGCTTCTCAGAGAACACCGCTCTTTGGCTCTGAAAACATACCAGAAAGCGTGCAAGGGGAAAACACAAACACGCTCATCCTGAAATAACTCTCCAATTCAAACACATCCAGCATTCCACCCGGCAAGGCCAGCCCCACGAGGAACTCTACCCAAGGCAGGACTCCAAAGGAAACAGTGCTTTTGACAATAAAAGTAATTAACCTTCCCAGGGGAAGCAGGGAGGGTGGCTGCTTAAGGATAAAATAAACCAGGAACACAAAACACACTCCGATTCCTCTGCATAAATAAAATACCCCTGCAGACAAAAAGCTTCAAGGCACCAAAAGAAAATACTCCTAAGATTTATTTTCTTAACCATCCGAAACGTCTTCCAGGAAAAGGCAGGAGGGCTCTCAGTCAGCAACAAAGCAAAGATCCGAAAAATATTAAGGATTTTGATGTCAGAATGTGACTCCTTCATATTTACATACATACATGTTTTTTTTTTTAAAAAAAACAATATATAAATTAATGGCCACTTTGACAGGTAGGTTAAGATTAGTTCTACTCATCTAGGATAACATCTTTATATATTTTTCCAAGTGCTTTTCAGAAAGTCCTGCAGCCCGGTCAAAGATCCAAGGCCAGCTTCTCCAGTGTTGTGCTGCTTGGACTGCAATTCCCATCATCCACAGTCACCATGGTGGCCGTGGATGATGGGAATTACAGTCCATTGTCGGTCCAATCTGCATCTCCGAACAACTAACGTGGTCCGGAACAAAGAGGTTTCCACGGGCAAAACCACTTCCTGCCCCATGACTGCAAAATAATTTGTTCTAAGTGCCTCCATAACTTACAAGCCTATCTTATGCATAGTTATGGAGAAGTAAAAGCCATCAGGTTCCGCGAACTCTACTCGAAGGCAAGGATGATTGGGATCACGGCCACGGAGACAAATGGACCATTGTGTGCTTTAATCCACCCCTCCGTCTTTGAAAGAAAACGAAGCCAGACTTTGCAAGGAAATCGGCCACACTCGGCAGCCACGAAAACCAACCATTCTCTGCAAATCTGGCAGGCCGAAACCATTTTCTCCGGTTCCCCTATTTTGCACAACACAATTCGCTTTCCTGCATGTCACAATTAAAGAGGAAGAGAGTGAGGACTCTTCTCCTTCAGCCTTAAGCACAGCTTGGCTTCCAGATGGACTAGAAACTTAGTTGATCTTAAAAATAAAAATAAAGCTAAAGGCCATGATTCTTGGAAAGCAAATTCTCTTGCTAAGAGCCATTCTGCCCTTCGCCAGTACTACATGATGTGTGCACCCCCATGTCATTCATAAATTCAACCCTTCTTCAAGTCCATTGATTTGTAGGCTGGTGGTGCAGTTCTGACAAAAGGGGGAGTGGGGACTCATTCTAGTCTCTGCCAGTTATCAAACATGGAAAAGTAAAAATATGATGCTTTCCTACTAGCCCCTCACTTCTTGTCCCCCCACCCTTTCCCAGCCTGACAACAACAAGCATCCTTCCACCACCACCCGCCCCATGAATCATGGTTTCAAAGAAAACACCCTGAAGGCCAAGGAGGAGAGGAGGAGAAGGTTGCCCCAAAAGCAGAATGACTTCCCAACATCAGTCCTTCAAGATGTTACGAGAACAGATTGGAGATTTCTTTCTGTTTTTTTTTTTAAAAAGCACTAAAAGGGTTAAATACAGTACTACTAAATTTTTCCAAACCAACCCCTCCCCTCCCGTAGAGCCCCACGGACAGGCACTACGGTGTTGAGAACACAACAGAAACCGTGTCCCCCGTGGCATCGCTCGGTTTTGTTTCATGGCGTGGTTTCGGCTTCGTTCGTTTCTTGGTTTCCTCCTCCTCCTTTCCCCCCCCTAAGCAAAGTGGCTTCCGGGAGGGGGCAAGGAATCCCCCCTGTGATCCAGCTGATCTTGCAGCCTGGCGAATTCGGCCAGTTCGTTCAGCTCCTGGAACTGCCGGTCCGTCTTGTGAGTCACCAGCGAGCGGTAGAAATGGACCGCAAAGACGATGAAAATCAGCCCGAAGGGGACCATGATGGTGGTGGACGTGATGGCCGCCGCCTCGCCGGCGGTGATGGCGGAGGCGGTGTCGTTGGTGGCCGGATGGCCGTCTCCGGACGCCGACGCCGGCTTCTTCTTCAAAGGGTGGAACTTGACCCAGCAAAGAAGGACGACCTCCGCCAGGAAGAGTAAGGTCCCGATGACGGTGGAGAAGGCCCAGGCCAGTTCGATGTGCTTGTGCATGCGCTCGTGGGGGGACTCCTTGACGGAGTTGAGGTTGTGGACGTTGCTCACGGCCTCGATGTTGGGGAGGATACAGGTGCTGATCATGAGGGCGAAGAGGTGGACAGCCACCAGGACGGTAGTGCAGGCGCTGAAGGCGATCAGGAGACCTGGCGGGTAGTTGTGGTCAGCGTCTAACTGGACTTCCACCATCGCCACCTAGAACGGGTTAGGAACCGGCGGCCGGAGGGGGGGGGGATGGAAAGAATAACAACAGACATTTAATAAAGCTCATTCTGAATTATAATATCTCAGGGTAAGGAGCAGCAGAATTGGTTACAAACATTTAGAAACACCGGGAACACAGCAAACAATGCAAAGTGGTTTTAAACACTTAATCTCCACGTTGAAGGACACACCCCAAGATCTTTATGGACCTAAAAGTTCCCTTGAGGAGCCGGGCACCAGAATAAAACCATCCTCTGCACCCTCTCGGCCTTTGAGAGGAGAACATACTTCATGTTATAATTTTGGGCCACAGTTCCCAGCGGCCGGACTAACTGGTGTGTGTGTGTGTGGATTCTAGGAATTGTAGTCTTCTAAATGTGAATGGCCTCCAAGCGGGGGAAGGTTGAGCTGTAAAATTCCATGTATGGCACTGGGCTACTGGATATTTGGTTGAATATTAAGAAAAAACTTCCCAACTGTTAGAGCAGTACGACAACGGACCCAAGGACCTCGTCGAGAGCTGGTGAGCCCTCCAGCCCTGGAGGCTTTCAAGAGAAACTTAGGCAACCCCCTGGCAGATCTCCTTGGGTCTGGATTCCTGCCTTGAGCAGTGGGTTGGATTGGATGGCCTTTGAGGTGCCCTTCCAACTTCACAATTCGATGAACATGTTCTGCTAGCTCCTTCTAAGAGAAAACAGGTCGTCATGATCGGAAGCCACAGGCAATATTCTTTAACAACAGACAAGAAAGGCTGGCTTTGGGTTGATCTCCTAAAAAAACTTGTCGCCAAAGTTAAAGTGCAAATAAGCTTTCTTTCAAAACAGAGGAAAGAGGGGCTGCCAAGGTACCCACCTCACTTCCTTGCTGGACAATGAAGTATTATGTAACGGCACCCTCCAGCTGGCACCCCTCCCAGCCCTTTGCGCCAGGGGAGAAAGAAGCAATATTTTCCTAAGCATGGTTTTGGGGGGGAGGGAGAAGGCCATTTTCTTGTGCCTTGGCCAAAATCCAGCATCCCTCCACTTGGCAGAGGAGTGGGGCGGGGAGGGGGTCAGCTCTGACGTCAAAGCGTGCCCACCGGAGAGCGAGAAACCCATTTCCGATCCAGGACAATGAGCAGCTGTCCAAGGAGGGGGGGGGAGGAAGAAGAAAGGAATAGAGGAAACTAGAACCTCCCAGGCCGAGGGGATTAGACGGAGAGGCGCTCCCGTCATCTCCCCTAACATCTGTCCTTCCCACAATGGAACGGTATTACAAAACACCTGTTTCCATGGGCTGGTGAACGCTGTGTTGTTGTTTGTTTTTTCAAATCAACTGACCCACAAAATACAACCTAGAAAGAATGTCCACCGGGTTTATGCCAAAAAATAAGAGCGTTCCGTCGGGAGAGGGTGCCCCAGATTTTGTCTGAATCGACAGCAAGGCTGGGGTCGATTTAAAGCAGTACAGGATTCAATCCACCCAGGCATCAACCAGATTGAGGATCTAGGCAGGTGCTAAAATTCCCCGTCTTCCCCCTGTTTGTTTTAAAAGTGATCTGTGATTTCACAAAAGACAGTTGGAGTCTGTTTTTTTCCCCTTTCTTTAATCCCTGTTAAGTTGTCTAGAAAGCGAGAGTCACCGGGTGGGCCCCTTAACTGTTGTAATTTAATATGAGCAGTCCGTTTAGTTTACTGCTAAACAGAAAGCAAGCTGCTCGTTTCAAAAATAATAATAATGGGACTAATCCTGAGGCTTTATTTATTTATTTTTTGACTGTGCAGGTTTGAAACGGACGGAGGAACTAAACTGGCTGAAAGGCCAGACAATAAATTGGGATATTACGGATTTGGTTGTCCGGCTCTTGTACCCGAGAGCTTCAAACTGATTTATTTTGGGTTCTTCCAAAAAAAATTAAAATAAAATAAAATACAGCCAGATGGCAAGATTCATAACTGGAAACCCAACCGGAGCATTCTTCCTTGGTTTTGAACTGAAAAACTCAAGAATTATTCCAAGGTGCCAGTTTTAACTTTTGGCCTCTTTAGAGAAATCCACCTCTATCCAGCGTGCTGCAAATGACTTGGACTACGACATCTATCATCCCCCAATCAATATGATCAAGGCTGCTTTGGACAGACAATTTGAGGTTCAGGAAAGTGACTTTTTTGAACTACAAGCACCCAGAGTTCCCCAACCAAGGAGGTGAACAGGATCCCAGGGCGTCTTGTTTTTAAAATGTTAATGTTACCAAACTCTGCAGAGCCCTCTATCATGTGCCCAAGATTATCTGCTGACGCCATCCTGTCTTTTGGACACTAAATCAAGGAGGGGCAGGGCCTCTAAAAGGGATCTATGCATCAAGTAGAGGTGACCACCTCCCCGTTGTTCCCTTTGTACTGTGCATGCTGTAGTGTAGACATTTGGGGATGTTCACTGTCCATAATCTAGCCATGTGACAGAGTATGACATGGAGTTCTCTATGAACATATGGAATCTTTTACATTCATGAGTCCCATGCAGGTAAGGCCCACTGAGCTCAATGGATCTTACAGCAAGGTAAGTATAT